TTCATAAAGCCCAGTGACACCTGCACTAATGTGTTACAGCTACGTTGTTACATTATTAAATACACTGAGCAACTTTAAATGAATTGTAATGACATATGGGGTCCATATGACCCCACTCATGTTTGGTGTGGTGGTGGTGTCCTCCTGACCCCGACCTGATTACGCGGTGGTTGCGGGGGCAAAGGGGCATTGGGTTGGGGTCATTAGGTKTTTGTGGGTGGCCTGGCTGGCTCCCCAAGAGACAGTCATGACTTTTACTTGCTACCTTTGTTAGCGCGCCACAAGGACAGCGGGAGAGTTATGCATTTTGCTGACAAATATGTGATATTTAAATATAAAAAATATATATTTTTTACTCTTTAATTGGAACTGGTTGTGTGTACGTAATTTGATTAATTGATAAATTATTTTGCTGCTGCTTCCAGTGGTTTGGTTCACTGTTTTTATGATTTGTGTCAAGTCCAGTTATCTTCTTGGGCCAGTTGTTCAAAGGGAGAATGGATTGGATAAAAACCTGAAAATGGGTTGTTCAAAACCAAAAAACAGATTCTGAAATTGGATTAAAACACATAATTCGATCTTGGTTTAGTTCTGGATCAAGCCTTCAGTTTGTGTTTAAAACCTTTTTAGTTTGATTGAGATAACCGACAATTATTCTGATCCCAGCGGTTTTGCAGATTCAGGGTGGAGTTCAGGAACTAAATGGGTATAAATTAAATTCAAACTTCTCAAATAAACATTAATCATGTAGTAGATTTACATTTATTTCTTGAAATATATTTTTTTACTCAATTTTCAAAAATTTCTGGTGAAATTGTAGACTAATTTACACTACAGACCTTTATGGTAGAAATAAAAGCATCTTCTCAATCGCTGCAAAAATAATAATGGAAAAAAAACCTTTTTTTTTACTTTACTTGAAAACTTAATTTTAACAGTATAAAGTTAATTAACCAAAAATCATTTCTGACAATGTCATGTCCAATCACTCTCTCATTCTGTTAGAATGTAGGCTGCATGTTTTCATTTTCATCTGGCTCAGGTAATCATAATTTTGATCCCGATTACACCTTTGGAACAACTGGCCCCTGGTCTCTTGGATTTAAAGCTTTCAGTTTTTGGTGAGTTAGTTATGAATCAAGTACAAATGTTTGGTCTGAAGCAGTAGGTAACAAATAAATAATCCTGAAATCCCACTTTTAATAGTGTTTTAAATAAATACTGCACATTTTTGTTTATTCCTCTTTAAGCACTGCTCTTTTCTCCACAGGCAGATATGGGGATGACATACTCTGAGTTATCAGTGATTGGACGACTGCGGAAGATTTCCAAGTGTGGCCCCTTCAGTATGTTCTGTAAACTCATCCACATGTGGAAGGATGTGCTCTCACCAACAGAGGTCAGTCTTCGAACCCATGATGACTGTAGACAGAGACTTTTGGGACATCAGATCCGATCTCAGCTGATTGCTGTTTAGGGATCTTATGAGGGTTCTGCTTAAATGAATACCTGCAAAGCATGTAACAATTCCTTCACAATAATGTGAGAGACAGATAAATTCATAAGGATTCATGAAAGCTATTGCTGCTGATGGTGGATTAAAAAACTCCATTACAGAAAATTAGTTTTTCACTCATTGGGCCTCATGCAAGAACCGTTCGTACGCAC